CCGAGCCCGGCCCAAGCCGCAGGCTTAAGCCCGGGCTTGCTCACAATACAATGAATATTATGGTGCTATGAAAAGGGAGTATATTTGGATGTAGTAGATTATTACTGCGTGTACTCACTGAATTCAGCCTCCAGAAGATGTACACTCGGGGAATAAGTCGAGTCGCAGCGAAGCCCACGAGCGCGCGCCTACGGCAGGCACCAAACGGTGATGCACAATCGTGCTCGGCGGGAACCGTCGAGTCTAAAATATCAATATTATGTCTGGTATGTACATCTTAGATCTCTCCCACCTTATCCTGAACTCAGGGAATAGTAACAGAGCCGGTACACCCAAGCCTGGGCTTCCGGGCCGGGCTTGGGCTTGACTATGCTCTGAGCCCAGCCTTGAGCCCGCTGCCAGGCTTTTTGGGCCGGGCTTGGCAGGCTCGTGGGCTTTGAGGCCCGGCCCGCACATCACTACCGGTGACCATACCTAACGGGGGTCACCATGATAAATTTTGTGTTTCGGTTAGGTAGGGCATGGGTGAGGGCACCCAGTAGAGGTAGGTCTAACGTTTGGTGTGGTAGAGTCCATCGACTGGCTCAGTGCTCGTGCGAGGCCAGGGCCGTCTGGCGCGGTTCTGCGAATTCCTCCGCGCCCCCAGACCTTAGGTCGACCAGGTGAACCGGCACGGACCCTGTTTTGACTGTAGCACAGGCCCCCATGTAGCAGTAGTTCTACGGGCCTTTATAAACAAGCTGGAAAAAAAAAGAACAGCAGGCGGCAATGAATCCGTTCACACGCCACCAGGTGCCCTCGGATCCGGAGACTGCCATCCTTGTTTGCGGAGCGGTGGCACGGGCGGGGCCCTTACAAAGAGATGACTCGCGAGAAGCACTGAGCCGAACGTGTGGTACAAATCCACGATTTTCACGATGAGCTCCTTATCCCAAGCTAGAAATATCGAAGGCGGGGGTGAGGCTGGGTGCATGATCAGTGCGCCAGTGGGTTTGTCCGTGTACCGCGTCGAGGCTGCATCCACAGGGCAGCGCAGGTTAGTGACTGCGAAAGCGGCGTACCAGGCTGTGCCACGAAATGATACGAGTACGTCTGGCTGACTGGCCCGCGATGCCGTTGTGCACAAAGCTGTCCTGTGCGGTCGGCTGCAGCGACGAGTTCGTGCTGGACGTGGAGGGCGAACTATGATCGTGGTGCGCACGCCCCCCCCCCCCCCAACACCACTGGGCCCACGCTGGGCCCTAGATTGGGCCTCGGTCTTGGGCGGACGCCAACGACATGTCGCGGAGAGGCTGCCCTTTCGTTGGGGAAAATGAGCTGTGTGCAAGACTCTCGACAATGCATGCCTGAAGAATGAGACCCGCAGCAGGGGCAGAAGTGTGGTTGCGAGCTGGTTGCGGTAAGTATCATCTACGAATCGTGCGCGCATAATGGAGGAAGACGAACGTGCTTTAGTGATTACAGTACGGCGGCAGCGAGGATTGGTCGACTCGCCGCGGCAGGCTGCGCGGGAGTAACTTGTGCTGTTGAGGAACGTTGAGGCAGCGAAGAGGACGGGGTATATTAGAAAAAACTTATTTTGGGGTCGTATTTGCCCCTCGACGAAAGCTACAACTACCATCAGTCGAGCGGGGGTGATACGTATCTCCTAAATATGGTAAGCAATGATGGGAAAGTCAGCACGAGACTCTGTGGAATTGCGGCCACGTACGTGCCGCACTTGCCGTGCAGTGTCCGTGCTCTTGCTAGACCTACGTCGTTACTGCAGCTCTGGCATGGACGGCGACGAAGACGCCATGATTGAAAAATTTAAACTCCATGCCCTTCTTCAATCTGACAAGATGTTACTTCTCCTTAATGCACAGCCGCAAAAGAAACATCCGTCCTAGGCCTGCTACTTGGTTGCTGGAACTGGCCTGGCATCAACCATGTCCGCGGCTCCGACGAACCCGCGGTCGGGATGCGTTCGACGAAAGTGTGTCCGTAACCCCACGCTAAGGCTGCGCTACGAAATGTCAGGCCTAGATTAATATATCTCCTTGCCATATACCAATCGGCATGGTCCGAGCAATCATCTCAGGAAATGTTTCGGTTGCTCTATTCATTCGCGCGAAGAGGATCACGTGAGATCCCGTTTGTGGAGAACGGTTCTCTTCTTGCCATGAACGTGCCTCAGCAGCCAATATTCATCGAGACACACATCTGGTCCTCGTCAAGAACGTGCTCATGACTGCGGAGAACAGGAACAGAACATGAGAGGCGGGCGTGCGCTGGGTCTGCCCTTTTAAACGCGTCGACGCGTCGCAGTGAGGCCCCAGGTGTCCCCGACTCCCTCATGCCCCCGCAGTCATGCTTTTGCCGTCGCTCGTCCTGCTCGTCGCCCTCGTCCCCGCCGCTTTCGCCGCTCAGGCGTTCCAGTTCGTTCCCCCGGCGCTGACGCCCCTCAGCACTTCGACCAACTACACTGGCGCGAACAACAACACCCTCTCCAAGCAGGACGTCATCCCCGGCTTGGTCTTCGACCGCTTCATCTACATCTTCCTCGAGAACACTGACTACAATGATGCCGCTTCGACCGCGGCCTTTATGAACCTCACGCAGCAGAGCATCCTCCTCAGCCAGTACTTTTCCCTCACTCACCCATCTGAGCCCAATTATGCCGGTGCCATCGGTGGAGACTTCTGGGGCATGGGTGACGACGACTTCTACAACATCCCGGCGAAGTATATCTATTCTCATCTTCGACAATGACCGCAGCTAATCAATTAAACAGTATCTCGACGGTCATTGATCTCCTCGAGGATAAGAACATCTCCTGGGCCTGTTATCAGGAGAACATGCCCTCTGACGGCTACCAAGGTTTCAAGTGAGTTTTGCTGTATTACATTGTGCCACCTTGCTGCTCTCGAGGTACGCTTCTGTGTTCGTTCGTTGGCCGTCTTTCTTAAAGCGAGCAGCGTATATCAGCTTGCCATCCCCGACATTTTGATCAGGGCTACCGCCTTGTGCGCGTTCTGCGCGGGCTACATGCGCTGTCTTAGGCTTATAACTACATGACTCCCCGCCGAATTTGTACGCGGTTGCTGACCGGCAATATTTCCACAGCTTCGTGTCGCCCAATTATCTCAACGCTTCTGCTCCGGATTACACCTTCTACATGCGCAAGCACAACCCAGCCATTCTTTATGACTCAATCGTCAGCGTACCCTCGCGCCTTGCCCGCATCCGTAACTTCAATGACCTCGCTGCGGATGTTAACGCGAGCGCGATCCCGCAGTGGTTGTTCATCACCCCGAACATGGTTAACGACGGCCACGACACTGACGTTGACTTCGCGAGCGAATGGCTCATGTATTGGCTGCCGACCATGCTGAACGACCCAAATTTCAACGACGACCGCACAATCATCGTGCTCACTTTTGATGAGAACGAGACGTCCGAGATCAACAACAACGTCTACACCCTCGTGCTCGGCGGCGGCCTTCCAGCGAACCTGCGCAACACGACCGACGACTTTTACTACACTCACTATTCGTCCATCAGTACCGTCGAAGCTAACTGGGGTCTCAAATCTCTCGGCCGTCAGGACACCAACAAGTAAGTTCTCGTCGTCTCTTACTCTGCGATACTGACACACTTCTCCAGGACCGTCTCGAACGTCTTCTCCTTTGTCGCCAACGTCACCGGCTACACCAATGTCGAACTCACCCCGGACCAGTACCCGCTGACGAACCTCACCACCGTGTTCAACGGCCCGCTGAACCCCGACCAGTATGTGCCCTTCACCGCGCCCAACATGTCCGCCGTCGGCGCGGGTGGTCAGGGCGTCTTTGTCGCGCCCTCGCTCAACACCAGCTTCACTGCCGCCCTTGCCCCCGCGCCCGTTAACCTCACGGCGATGAACCTGACCGTGCCCGCTTCTGGACCCTTCATCGCCAGCAGCTCCGCGAGTGCGCCGAGCTCGTCAAGCACCTCTAGCACCGGCTCCGGCTCTAGCACCGGCTCCGGATCTAGCTCGAGCCCGAACTCGGGTACAACGAGTGTCAAGGTTGCCTCAGGCGTCGTCAGCCTCGGCTTGGGTGCGCTCATTGGTGTTGCGCTGCTATAAAATAAGTTTTCTGCGACAAGTAAAAGCTTATGCTCTTATGCTGTATAACTTCGTTCTTTTTTTGGACGTGTAACGTTTGTAACGTTTGTAACGTGTGATGCACTCTTTGAATTCTGCGTTCAAAGCATTGTACTTGTCTGTCACGCGCGGCAGCTGCCGCTGAAAACTATATTTGGATCCTTATGCAGCGGCGGGAAAAACTTATCCCTGCCAGAGTCCTGTTCGCTTATCGTGAGCCACAAAGCCTTCAGCATGAGAAGCTTAGATGATCCTGTGTAAGGTAGGCGGTAACACGGTGTGCCCGTTGATAATGCAGTAGACGTATTCCTTGGGGGTTTGTTTGCTCGGCCCTTTGCGACGCATCAGTGGGGCTGTCTCTAGTAAGCTCGTCGTGGCTCGGCGCGCGGGCGGTAACGCTCTTGCTTTGTTCTATCCGGTTACTGCATACATCAACGTACATTAGTCGATTCCCAGTCTTGCAGTAGTATGAGTCTAACGCATAACCTAGACGTTCATACTGCGAACTTAAACTCAGCTCGAACTTGAACTTATGCTATACGACACACATATGTAGCTGATAGTTTGTAGGATTTCGCGCTGTACCGCTACGGAAGGCAGAGTCACGAACTGCATCAGTATGCCGGCGGACGTATGTCACGCGATATCTATGGCGCAAACGCGATTGAAGCAGGTATCAATGTGTCAGAAAGTCGTTGACTGAGGAACGTACGGCAATGCAGAATCCATACGGCCGCTGAAATCTGCTCTTAAGGTTAAATAGAAGATAATGCAAGATGGACAGACCCGCGGGGCGGTCACACCGACTCACACGCGAGCGTCGGCGGCGTGTACGAGCATCAGGACGTGCACCCGATCCACGTCTCGGACATGCACATCCTCGGCGTGGGCGCGTTCTTGTTCGACCTGTCCGGACCGTGGCCGCTCCCGCTGCGCACCGACGGCACGCCTGACTTCCGGATGCTACACGAAATTTCGGGGTACTTTGAGCCCGACTACTTCGGCGGTGAGGTAAGCGTGCAGATGTAGTATATCACCTTGAGAATGCGCCGGATCTCCGCCCTTCGGCCATCAGGCGCGCGCCCCGCTTTGCCGACGCCGACGGCCGAACACCGATAGACCGACGCTGCAAAGCGCCGCAGACTTGCTGTTCGACGTTTTGCTATTTGCTTTGACCACGACGTCCCACCGACCTCCACTCGCACAATTTGAACAACTTGAAAGTTTATTATATATGCTGCTCATGTATGGAGGAAAGGGCGACAAAAGGCCCGAGGAAAATGCTCGTGACACAGTCATGGAATCGTCTTCCACTAAGATAGGCTAGTGCTCACTAATTAAGATTACATACAAAATTTGGGGATATGTATGCATTAGAATTGCGTAAGATAAACCCAGTTTAATTCCGACTACATCACGTGAGCGAGTGCTGTCACGCTGCGTCTCTTGTCGCAGGAGCAAAACTCGAGTTAATCCATAACTTTGTGTGCACACGACAGCTCAAAAATTTACAACTGTCATCTTGTAGAGAACACATTGAAATACTACTTGACCATTGTCAATTGCTTTTAATTGAGCAGAATACAGTTTTATGGGGTGTACAAGAACCAAAGTCAGCATTAAATAAGTGTCGATTAAGGTAATACGCAGCTCAAATTTTGGAGATAGGTCATCAAGCGCCTCCACAGATCTGTGTGCCGCTCTCGTACTCATGCTGTACGGCCATATTTCGCACTCGGAGAGATCGCTTTACGCATGCTTACAGGGACTTTACAGGGGAAGCAGTTGCATTTGTGAGGGAGTACCTCAGTCAGCGGGTGCGCACAAGGACTCGGAGGAGGGAGATGGTGGAACTCGCCTCATAGCACGGAGTTTATTTGTATGAAAGTTTGGACATGTCTATGGTTTGTCTATTTACATTTGTTCTCTCTCTGTTGAGCAGGGAGGGTCCCAATTGTTGGGCTTATCATCGCGGCCGCGCGTTTCCGCGACATGCACGTGACCGTCACACTGTGACGACACTCGTCGAAATTGAACTGGTAATCATATGTAATAGATTCAGGCGGTATCGACCTCCGAGGCGAAGATACTAAGGTAGCTGAGCATCGAGTCACCGAAATAGCTGCACATTACTGGACACGTCCCGGACATGCACTGTAATCCACCGTTCCTTGGGTCATCTCTTCAGCAACTCCTTCCTACAAACCACATCCTTCCACAAATGCTGACCGTTCAGAGGGCCGCTCAGAGGGTATGTGCTGGGATACCACGCTATCGCTGTTCTTATGGTTACGGAGTCGCTCAACATCTTTTCGTGCCTTGTAGAATGCGGCACGCCGTATGCGCGAAGCCAACATGCTGCTTGCTCGCTGGCAGGCGAGTCGTGGAATGGCCAGCGAGCCAGGACCGTACGACGCAGTGATTATTGGCGGAGGTTTGTAGGATACTATTGTGGATTTGCGGGACTGGGAGTGACGAGTTTGTCAGGTCCGGGTGGTTATGTCGCTGCTATCAAGGCTGCTCAGCACGGTTTGAAGGTGCGTAGCGGGAATTTTATATATACATATACATCCCACTCAACATATTGTAGACTGCTTGCATTGAGAAACGCGGCTCTCTCGGCGGTACATGTCTGAACATCGGCTGCATCCCTTCAAAAGCCATGCTGAATAACTCGCACATCTACCATCAGACTCTCCATGACCTCAAGCGTAGGGGTATTGATGGTACGTACGGTCTCCTCTAGTCCATTAGTTGCTCATCTCACATGAAATTAGTCAAGGACGTTTCCCTAAATCTTCCCCAGATGCTTAAGGCAAAGGAGGAGTCCGTCGTTGGGCTGACCAAGGGCGTCGAGTTTCTTTTCAAGCAAAACAAGGTCGACTACATCAAGGGTAGAGCCTCCTTCGTCACCCCCAACCGCATTGCTGTACAGCTGAACGACGGTGGCGAGACCGAGGTTGAGGCGAAGAACGTCATCATTGCGACCGGTTCTGAGGTCGCGCCCTTCCCCGGCGGCGGGATCGAAATCGACGAAGAGCAGATCGTCAGCTCAACTGGTGCTCTCGAGCTCAAGAAGGTCCCGGAGAAGATGGTCGTCATTGGCGGTGGTGTCATCGGTCTCGAGCTGGGTTCCGTCTGGAGCCGACTTGGCGCGCAAGTCACCGTGGTTGAGTTCCTCGGCGGCATTGGCGGCGTAGGCATCGATGAGGAGATCGCGAAGCAGTTCCAACGCTCGCTCCAGAAGCAGGGCGTCAAGTTTATGCTCAACACCAAGGTGCTTTCTGCGGAGAAGAAGGACGGCAAGGTCTTCTTGAAGACCGAAGCTGCCAACGGCGGTAAGGAGGAGACACTCGAGGCGGATGCTGTCCTCGTCTCTGTTGGTCGTCGGCCATACACCAAGGGCCTCAATCTCGAGAAGATCGGCGTCGAGGTCGATAACAAGGGACGCATCGTTATTGACGACCAGTTCAACACGACCGCCCAGGGCATCAAGTGCATTGGCGACGTGACTTTCGGCCCCATGCTTGCGCACAAGGCTGAAGAAGAAGGCATTGCCGCGGTCGAGTTTATCAAGTCTGGCCACGGCCACGTCAACTATCATGCGATCCCGTCCGTCATCTACACCCATCCCGAGGTCGCCTGGGTCGGCAAGACCGAGCAGGAGCTGAAGGCTGCCGGCGTTCAGTACAAGATTGGCAAGTTCCCATTCACGGCGAACTCGCGCGCAAAGACGAACCTCGATATGGAAGGCCAGGTTAAGATCATCATCGAGAAGGAGACTGATCGCGTCTTGGGTGCGCACATCATGGGCCCGAATGCAGGCGAGATGATTGCCGAGGCCGTACTCGCAATTGAATACGGCGCAAGTGCAGAGGACATTGCGCGGACATGCCACGCTCACGTGAGTCTCCTTATAACGCTTTACGTGTCAGCTGCTAATTACGCATTCGTTTATAGCCAACGCTCAGTGAGGCATTCAAGGAGGCGGCGATGGCTGCGTACGACAAGCCTATTCACTGCTGAACTGCATGATCTGCCTTACCCTTACTGTACTTCTGCCTTGCACTACTGGTCTCTGTTGTTTGAACTCGCACGCAATTCCACTTCACGACACAGACAATATGGTATATGCTTGGGCACCTCCGGATGCCAGAGCACATGTATCTACAGGTGGTCTTTGAGATGCCTCTAAAAATGCGTGTCACGGCTGTGCTGGGATCTCCGTTACGTTGCATGAGTCCCCGTGCTTGACAGCCGGGCGTAGTACGGTTCTGAGAGAAGCTTCGGATCCTAACACATAAACATCCGTTCGGCGGTGGTAGCCTGCTCGATTGGAGGCCTTTCGTGGCAACTGCCCTGTATCTTTGCCATTCCTTCATGTCGCTGTTCGACACCTACATCAAGCTGGGGGCGCAGACGCTGGGACTGTTCAAACACTACGGATTCCGGGTACTCGCATTGCCGGTTCCCCAATGTCTTTGTGCGCGGCGCTTAGCTTGCCCATTGGCCGTCGCGTCCACGATCGAAAACCAAACCATCAGTTTCACCGTTTGCGTCTGGCGCAAGTCGGAAGGATGACAGCGCGCCGAGCAGTTCAGTTATATAGCAAGGTGTGCTCGACTCGTTCGTGCTTCTTGTGCCCCGCTTATGTCATGGTCGTCTCCCATGTCCTCCAGACACTCTCGGGCCTCTGCAGCACGCCTTCGACGCTCCTTAGGGCCCTCCTGCAGTACTCGCCGTCCATCCTCAAGTTCTTCGTCGGCCTGCTATTTCTCTTCAATATCCGGTCTTGGCCTCTAGTCTGGCACTGTGGGTGCTCTCTGTGCCATTCTGCGCGAGACATCGCTGATCGTTATCCCCGGCTTCTCCTGCAGACAACGTCCTTATCCGTCCTGTGTACGAGCTCCGCTTCCGCTGGTGGGCAGTATGGTGGCGAAACGTCTTCGCATCGAAAAAGCGGATGCTGCAGGTGATGGACAAGTTCCTCAAGGACTTGTGTCCGGTTGGAGAGGACCCGCTCAGCTACACGGTGACCGTGAAGCAGTGGGCAGGTGAGCTTCATTCATGTGCTTGCACCGAACCAACACATCGTCTCGCACCATACTCTCGCGACACAAGATTAACAGGTGTACGCCTTGGAGGGGGGCGCTCTTTGCTACGTGTTGTGACCTCTACACCACCACTCGAGCAAGACGTTTCCATCTCGCAACAAACAGCATCGTGTCTTTTCGCTGTTTCTCGGCTATCTATATGTCCTACGCCTGCCGTTAGCATGGGACTGACTAGCTATCTCTTTTCCAGGTCCAGACGACTGTGACTTCAATTGGCATCTATCAAACTCGTCGTATCCCAAGGTGCGTATTGTTACAGGCTCCCAAGACCGTCTCTGATTGTTTTCTTTTGTCACTCGCTCCTACGTCTACTCTTATTTCGCCCTGGCATGTTTGTACTCACTAGCAACTCGACGCTGCGCGTTTTCGTGCTGCGTTGAAGATATGCCCCACGTTCTTCCGGGCGGGAGGATGGATGCCTTTAGGAGGTACGTGTTGCATCGCACTCTGGTGCGCCCGTGTCGTTTACACCCCCTTCGCATAGCGACCCACTTTAAGTTCATCAGTGAAATTCCTATTCTGGCGCACTACGAGATGCGCATGAGCATGGCAGCATGGGACAATAAATGGGTGCGTAGATACCATGTCTACGAGATTGCTAAAACTGACCGCGTATCATACGCTAGTTGTACACCGTCATCCGCTTTGTGACTACGAAAAAGTCCAAGTCGAAGAAGCCACAAGTGACTGCGAGCGCGGCGTCCCGGGAGAAGCCGATTCCCTCCGGAGATAGCGCACCTTTCCCGCAACTGCACACTCCGGCGACGCCCTCTGGTACATCGACGCCCGCACTCACCGACGGCGCCGCGCCGTCGAACCCTGCCGAGCGCATTGCGCAGCTGTTACCCGAAGAACCAGACGGCGCGACGCTGCACTGCATCTCTGTGTGCGAGCTCTGCTTCAAGATTGGGCGGATCACGGTTCCGCCTGCTGTTGCCCTCGCACTTGAGGGCTTCAGCGCACCGCCGCCTCCAGAGTCCGGAATAACAAAGTACAGCCATGAACACCCACCGCCCAACTTCATCAAGTCCCAGCAGCTGCAGGCACCCGATGTGCCACACGGACATCTAAGAGCGCTGCAAAAGTTCCTCAAAGGGGGCTGGCGTGATGTTCCTGAAGGTGAGCGATGGTGGGAGGACGCATTGAGTGGTGAAATTGAGACACGTCGTGCACGGAACCTTGAGGCTGTGAAGGGTGTGCGGCTCAGTATGGAGGGCGCGATGACAACGTATGTGTGAAGTGGTGGCTACGGCTAAAGTGTTGCAATATGAATAGCCTTAGACTACATGTTGCGTTTATAGCCAAGACCTGCTACATTTAGTGATAGAATATTAGACTCGTTTACCAGCCACTCACAGAGCTGCCGTGAGCCCGCGGGGCGGTCACGTGCGCCTCCATCCCTTTCGGAAGGGGCGCGAGCTTGCGAGCGGACTGGGATAGCCCGGGCCCAAATACAGACCCCCCCTTAATCCGAGACATAAGCGAGCCGTGTGAAAACGGACTTGTAACATTCGCGCGCAGGCTCTCTAAGGGAGAAGCACCTCCTACGCGTTGTGCGACGACTTACAATCACTGCGTCAACCGGAAGGTATCTCGTCCGAGATACTGTCAGGAATACCAGGCAAATGTGAAGTATGTCGGTACTAGATACACCGAGGGTTGTATTTTGCGTATGTGACACAAGATAGTGCATGAATCAGGAGTACCTTGGGTCAAGGTGTCTAACAGACATGCTAAATAGTCTGTCTGGCATATGTCAGATACACACTATATGAGCACCTCATATACACGCCAGGTTCACCATATATCACGGTCTGAAATATACACAATATCCATTTGTCATGCATGTTATCTAAGACATCATGACTAATGAAACATTTGAGACCCCCTAGTGCCTGTGTCCACAAGCGTCTGTCATCCCACGCGACATGGCAGCGTGACACAGCGGTGCACTGCTTGCAATGCGTGTGCGCTGCAGCTTCAATGCCATTTAGCCTACACAGATAATTAATCAAGTAGGTCATAATATAACTATCCAATGCAGTGGGTCTCAACTTATCGGTCTGACATACCTCCGTCCCAAGGATCAGTTGTAGTGATGTTGGGCGTTGTCGAACGGAGGCAAAGAAGGCACGCAAGAGTATGGTACCAGATGCCAGCCATTGGCTGCTCATGCAGAGACCTCGCTTGTGCTAATATGGGCTGAATAAATATCCCAGAGTTTCGCTGTGATTAATCAGACTCGAATACTGAAAAAACATGAGGAGACACACCACCAGATATTTAGCCTTCACTCCTGCGTCCCAGCCTGCGTGGTATCCAGACATGGACACCATTGGAGGTGACATGCCACCGTTCGACTTCAATGTCAACTTTCTAGGCTTGTTAACATTGGCTCTTGAGCAGCATGAGCAGATCAAAGCTGCCATATCAGAAGTTCCACCTTTGGTTAGCATCTTTTATAACCTATGAATTCCACCTGAAACTCATCTTTGTGCACCTCATCCTCACTGTTAGGCCTCTGTAGCTGGTTCCAGTAGTGCCCAGGCCTTCCCACCAATAATCTATCCAAACATGATGGTTTCACAGGTAAGCAAAGTGTATAATCGTACCCAGATAGGTCACTTACACGCTTGTACAAGGGTCACAGATTTGCTGCCACAGTCAGGCATCTGGGCGTCAAACTG